TTACTACCTTTTTGAAAAGGTTGTACTTGCTTTTGTGTAGAAATGTGGGCACTGAAGATTTATAACTTTTTTTTCGCGACACCTTACAACCTTTTGTGAAGGACAAACTTAACCTTATTTTCGGAAGTTTCACTTATACCCTTTTGTGAAAAAAATTTCATCACATTTACAAGTAAAGAAACCTTTTTCTTAGCTTATAACCTTTTCGATGAAAGTGCTTATATTTTTTTTGAAAAGCTACTCCCTTTTTAAAGCCATTTTTTTGGCATAATAGCAAAATGAAATGCAACATGCAAAAATTGCATTCAAAAATTGCATGTCCGTCGTTGCTCACGCGTCGAGCCAAGGAGGTTCTTTCGCGTCGGAGCGTACCCTACCGGGTTATATACCGTGCGCTATGGTATATAACATCGCGGTATCTTCATAGAATGCCGTTCATTATTGTGGTCGCGATGTAGGCGCCGGATATATATCTCGTGTGCTTGGTTGCCTTAGACGGCCACCACATATGTAGCTAGTAGACGAGAGGAGGTGTGATACTCACTCCGGTGACTGTGCGCGGGTTGAGCTGCATGCCAGAAAGCCAGATACCCACGCCGCGTTATAGGCGTTAAGCGAGAGAGTCTGGAGTGAGTGCACTAGTACCTTAATACAATGGAGAGTAAAGTTATCATCACCGTGGTCTCGCTCGAGCAGAAAAGCTTCGCTCGATGCGAACCTCAGAATCCGGATTTCCTCAAGAAGTTTGTTTTCTTTTCCCAATCTTGGATTACTTTTGGTTCTCTATAATACTTGGTTTTCTCCCAAAAACTAAGTGATTGATTGACGTCCCTCCAGTGATCTTCTTCCTTGGTTGTTAAAATGTTTATAATCTGGGGCATATTTGTTTGTTTTTCGTTTGATGTTGTTATTGAGTATTTCAAACTCATGATCTAAAGAGAGTACATCAAAGAGGCTCTCCTGTTTTGTTATAGCACAACAAAGGAGAGAGGTTATTCTTCGTGTTGGGATTGCTGAAGAATTCGACCTGAAGCTTTGTGGAATTCCGGAGTGGCTCAATCAAGGAAAGACAATTTCGTGGTGAGATGGGGTTTTGGAAAGGCACATAAGAGGTTGGTTCAAGTAAAGGCGTTTGTGGGATCTCGCTAGGTAACTTGAGAGTAACTTGTGTATTCCCTTAAATTCTTTCCTTGAAGTGGGATTCGCGTCTTATGGCTGTTGCCCTGCGGTGTGTTTTTTGATCACACAGTTGAGGTGTCGGCAATTGTGTGGTTTTTTCCAACTGTAAATATCGTTGTCGGTTTCTCTCTTTGTCTGATTGTTTGATTGGGATTGTATATTCTCTGTCTTAAAATTGATAACATAATACCACTAAATCAACATCTAAGGGGGAATTTTTAAGGATTTTTTCCAAATAACGATTTATGACTAACTTTTTAATGTGGTTATGATAACTCTTTTCAAGACATGAGTAAGTTTGAAAGAAAAAAAGTATAAAAAGTCTGTATTACATGAGAAAAATTATTTTCTACCAATAAAAGGAGTAACTTTTGGCAAAAAAAAAGAAAAAAAAATTTAAAAAATATAAGCAAATCCACGTGAAAGGGGTAATACAGTAGCTGAAGGGCAAAAGGTGTAAATTTGATGAATTTTATTTGTTTTTCACAAAAAGGTATATGATGGGGGGGAACTTCCCGACAAAGCTTTAAAGAGTGTGGCCTTCCCCTATACAAAAAGGTGCTATGTTCGAAGCAAAAGTAATAGAGTCTACTATGTCAAAAACTTCCTACCACCACAAGAGGTAAGTGGTTCATTAAAAGGTGGTAAATGATTTTATACGTGTATATCAGGTAATTGTCAGGTTACGCCTTAGTTTCTTGAAATTCCTTCCGCCTTTGCTTGAAAACTTAATATTTTCCTTGTGACCATTTTAACACCTTCTTAGTCATATAAATATATTTTTTATAATTTTACCTGGAAAAGTGACCTGCTGTAGCAGTTCACCAATGTGGTAAGTTTTCCAAATAATCCTTTTGATATAACCCATAATACAATATAAATGTTGTGTAATGCAAAATAGAAGGGTGTAAAGTGCTAAGTGCCTTGCATACCATATGCAAGGCACACATGAGAAAAGTCCTTTTCACAATCATAGAAAAATGTACCATACACTCCAACAATTTGGGATCAAGTTCCCTTTATCATTTACCTTTACGGTTCATAGTTTATCTTTAGAACTCTTTCGTTTTTTTCATTTTTTTAAGGGTATCTTATGTTTAGAACTTTGTTGATATAGTTTGTGAATGTTGTTAAATTGGCATGAAATTTTTAGAGTATATAGAAAGCTGGGAATATGAGTTTATTGAAGAAACTATCCATACTCTATTTTATTGTGTATGATTGCATGCTCGTTGACCTGCATGCACTTTGACCTTGGGATGGTCATTTTTTCCCTCATTAACATTGTTCATGAAATTTACTTGCATCAATCTTGTCTTTTTTTTTTTTTTTTTTGATGTTTTTTTCCAGTTGATTCCAATCTGAGTTGGAGAGTGGACTATTTGAAAAGAGTAATGCTGCTAGGACCGAAAATTGAACCGAATTTTGTATTGTAACTTCATATAGTGATATATTGATGTGGGTTGAATTTTGTCTAAATTACCATTATCCCTATCATATTATTCTACTTGGGTCTCGTTTCAAATACCAGAGTTTCCTTACTAGTTTTGACGTTTAGCATAGTAATATGTTAGTACAGTATGTCGTTGACAGTAGTCGTATGTGTTTGTAGGATCCTTATTGGGACAAGCTTTTGTGGCACTGTTTTGACAACAACTCCTACCAAGGCTGTCCTCTCCCAGAAAGACAATGTTATGCAGACAAAGAGCCTAATTTGGAAGACAATTGGAATTATGAAGGAGGTACCTAAACATTTAACAAAATGACATGAATAGATATCTTAATTTCCTCCTCAATCTGTTAAGAATGAAACTGAATAATTGGCAACAAGTTTTTTCAATTTCTTGAACTACAAATTCATATTTAAAAGATTAACTGTTTGAAGATTATATAGATGACAAGTATGGGATAAAATGTGTTCTATTCTGTGGTATACTCTTTAAGATATTTTGATTGAAAACAAGTTGAAAACAAAGTTTCATGTAGAAGTTATATATATACACGCATTTCATTTTTTATTGTGTTCGGTGTTTTAAGGGAAAACTACTCCATGGTCCTGCTCTGAATTTGCTATAATTTCCAAATTTAAAGCAAATTTTCTTTTAGAAGTTTTTTGACTTCTCAAATGATTCTCAGACTTTTCGTTTTACACATAATCATAAGCTGCTTTTTGACAGAAACTTTAACCATGATATGGAAAATTTCATTATAAAATCACAAGAACTTTATGCATAAAGAAGACATTCCAAGAAAACAAATTTATTCATAATATTTAGAAGACACAAACAGAAGACTTCTACATGACTTGTACAATGTAAACACATTTACTCACATATAGCAACACAAGTCTAGTCCAGACATTATCTAGAAATCGAAAATATGCATACCTCCATGACTTAACGAACAATATTGGAGCAGAGACGCCCCAAAAACCAACCGCAAATCCTAAAGCCATAAACACATAAAACCAATCCACTTCAGATCTAGCACCTTCGTCATCTCCTTCATTCCCCTCAGGTGTTTTGCCATTATCGCTACAATTTTTTGTGAGTGGAGGTCCACAAAGCTTGTTGCCGGTGAAGCTAGAAGCATGGAAGCTCTGGAGTTGGGCACCCGATGGAATTTTTCCGAACAAGCTATTATAAGACAAATTCAAGTAACTTAAAAAATTCAAACCTGACATGCTTGGAGGAATTTCACCGTAGAGTTGGTTTCTGGATAAATCAAGAGATTCCAACAACCCCATGTTACCTATATTCTTTGGAATCACACCAGTTATGTGATTTCCAGACAAATTCAGAAAACGCAATCCTTGGAGACTAGTTAGTTCCTCAGGGATCTTTCCAGATATGATGTTGTTCGAAAGGTCTAAGCTAGTCACAAGAGAAAGAATCTTGTCATATTGATTTATATTTCCTTTTGTCACCAAAACTTCATTCTCTGAGAAATCTTTGCTACCAAAGGGAGCAGAAGCAGCAACAACAGCAGGAGGCATATCATTGTCAGGCATGAGATTTTCATTTGCAATAGAATGCACTTGTTTTTCTTTTCTTACCATGGCAGTAAAATTGTTGATACACCATGGTATTGCACCAGACAAATTGTTGTTAGCAAGATCCAAGACTTGAAGATGGGAGAGGCGACAAAGTTCTGGAGGTATTACGTCATCTAACTTATTGGAACGAAGGATAAGAACAATAAAATGTGGCAGCCTTTTCGCCATCCATGTAGGTATGCTTCCTTGAAACTCATTCTCACTGAGGTCAACCACCCGTAAACTTATACAATTTTGCAGAGATGAAAAAATTTCTCCAGAGAGATGGTTCCTGCGCAAATGTAACCACTGCAAACGTCCTAAAAGCCCCATGGATCTTGGGATATTCCCTGTTAGATTGTTGTTTCCCATTTCTATGATTATTAGTGATTGCCAACTCATCCAACAATCAGGAATTTCACCTGACAGAAGGTTTCCTCCTAAATCAAGAACTAAAAGATTTTTTTGTCTGTCCTTCCTATCACATAGGAAGTGGGAGATATCCCCAGAAAATGAATTGCTGGAAAGATCAAGGTGATTCAAATTGGAAGAAATACGGGGTAAAAGACCGTTAAAACGGTTGGAATTCAAGTAAATATTTTGGCCTTCAGGAGGAGCAAGAAGATATGGAATCTCACCATGGATTTGGTTGTGGGAGAGATCTAGAAAATAAAGGGAGGAAGATAAGTTCCAAAACCAAATTGGTATGGCATCTAATATTCCAGTGTAGGCTAGGTCAAGGTACTCAAGGCCCTTTTGTGATTGGAGCCACATGGGGAACCTTGGGCCCAAATGCCATGAAGCAAGTTTTACTTCTTTAAGTTGAAAAGGAGGGATCCAGTTAGGACTCACCTTTAAAGTCAACTGGTTTCCAGAGGCATATAATTTCCTCAGATTGATGAGATTGGTGAAGTGAACTTCTGACACAATGCCTTCTAACGAATTATTAGACACATCAAGAGTTTTCAACTTTGAAAGTTGCCCAAAACTTTGGGGAAGAGTTCCATTTAGTTGATTTCTTTGTAATTCCAATATTTCTAACGATGCCAATCTTCCTATAGTGGCTGGAATGGAACCAGAAAGCAAATTATCACTGAGCTTAAAATATCGCAAAATTTTAAATTGTTCAAATTCATCAGGTAAATGACCAGAAAGATGATTCCCAGACAAGAACAATGTCTCCAAAGCATATACTACATATTTAGATGAACTTATAAGCAATTCCCCGCTAAAGTTGTTGAATGACAGATCAACAAAACTCAAGTTGCAAAGATTTCCCAAGAATTTTGGTAGCCTTCCCTCTAGTTTATTACTAGATAGATCAAGATGTTGAAGACTGGTCATGTTGGACAAAAACACAGGAAATGGACCCTCAAGTTCATTATTTGATAGATCAAGATATTCAAGACTGGTCATGTTCTGGAAAACTTTTGGAAATGGACCTTCAAATCCATTTTCTCTGAAACCTTCAAGCTTGCCTACAAAAAAACTCGAGCTTAGATCAAGAGAAACGAGGCTACTAAGGCTAAAGATCCAACTGCGTATGGGTGTTGAAGTGCCAAAGAAGTTGAATGACAGGTCTAGGACGACAAGAGATGTAAAATTAACATCGAGTAGATGAGGACTGGGATCAAGTTGGCAACCAGACAAATGTAACTCTACTAAAGAAGGGAGTTCGTTAATTACCT